CTCTCAGTGTATTAATCCACTGATTGGGGACTGTCTCCCAAGGGTGGGCTGAGACCCACTAAGGGGAACTAACAAACCAGTCTGCTGCCTCCTGAGTGTGCTGAGGACCAGGTCGGGGCTGGGGGCATGGGATCCCTGAATGAGAAAATATCAACACACAGGTACGAGTGCAGTCATTTGCTTGGAACTTTATATACATTTGTCTCATTTAATCCTCAAGACCTGGGCACAGAAGGGTTCAGGAAAGGGTGAGTCATACTGCTGGGGAGCAGACCACCTCCTTCAGACCACTGGCGTCGGCAGCCATGAGTGAACCCTGGTCCATGACAAAGCTGGCACTACCCCAAACTGCCTGAAGGGGGCTCTCTGGACACAGGACCCAGGAATTTGAATTTCCACAATGTCTTCAAGTGAGTCTTATTAAACATTGTGAAGTCTGAGAACCACTTCCCTAAACACTACACACATCATGAGTCTCAAGAAGGCCAGCAGGATGCTTCTTTTCTAGAAAAGCATGAAACCTGAACAGAAACTCTATTATTCCCCAAGTTCCATGGGACAGTCTCATATATACATGCGTGCTAAGTCACTTCAGTTGTGTCCGACCTTTGCAACCCTATGGACTGTAGCCCACCAGGCTCCTCTGTCCATGGGATTCTCCAGGCAAGAATACTGGACTGGGTTGCCATGCCCTCCTCCAAGGAAATATTTCCAACCCAAGGATCAAACCCACATCTCATACGTGTCCTGCATTGCCAGGCAGGTTCTTTACCACTAGTGTCACTTGGGAAGCCTATATATATATATGTAAAGAAGGTCTGTTTTTTTTTTTGCCCAGCGCAAACCTGATCAAGAGACTAAAGCTAAATTTAGTAAATAGATTCTGGATACCTGAATCACACCACAAGTAGACAGGAAGCTCTGAACTCATGTTGCTTACCCCAGGGCCTCCTGTATTTCAAGTACCCAGTAAGGTTCAGTGAATATTAAGCCCAGACAGTTAAAATATGCCTGGAACAGTTGCTTAGGGAGTCTTCTTCCTCCACTTTCCAATGTTCTTTCAGTTTCCATTAACAAAAACAAAGGCAGGTCTTCCCTTCCAGAGAGCCCGCTGTGTGGTTTTTATTAACAAGCAAAAGACTGGTTTCTTGGGGAAACAAAACAGAGTTTCCTTTGAGTGCCAGGCTGCCTCTGGCAATGCTGGGAGCAAGCGAAACTTAGGGAACGGCAGACTCTGAAATGACCACTCTTTGGTGACGCTCAAAGTTGTATGAAATACTGTTTTTCAAAATCATTTAAATTACTTCCTGTGTGTAATTTAGAAAATTAACCATAAAAAGTGGGACTACTGTTTCCTAATTCATCACCAAGGCAAGTCAAGGTAACCTGTAACAAGACAGCGAGCTCATGGTGGGAAGGGGATGGGAGACCCCCGTGTTCAGACTTCCTGCCCCCAAGGAGCCGGGCTGGAGGTGCAGAGACTCAGACTGGCTCAAGCTCATGGCAGCCCCCAGGGCAGAGATGAGCCTTGTCCTCCAGATGAGAAGCCCAGGTTCAGAGTCCTCATTTGAGCTCCTCCAGATGCAGAGCCCACGCCAAGTGGTGGGTACAGAAGTTTATCTTGAAGGTGATCCCAGGAAGCCCAAGAGAGGGACAGTGGCCAGCGAGACCAGAGGTCAGAAAATGTGTGAAAGGCGTAAAATGAGAAGCCGACTTCCCTTGTACTTGGAAGAACTGTGGGGCGCACCCCAGAACTGTCTCAGCAGGGCACAGGGAGGCTGGGGTGTCATCCACCGACGTCCACCCTCCCTGGCTGAGCACTGCTCCCAAGGTCACACAGCCCGTAAAGGGCAGGCCCAAACTCAAGCCCAGATGGGGTGGGACCTGAAGCCTGAGTGCCTATCACCTCGCCACTCACCCTACCACACCCCACCACTCCCACCCCCATGACCCACACCCCAATCACCTCCCCACCCCACCACCCCCAGTCCCATGACCCCCACCCCATCCCCATCACCCTACCACCCCTACCAACACCCCACCACCCCCACCCCATCCCCATCACCCTACCACCCCCACCACCCCCACTCCCATGACACCCACCCCATCCCCATCACCCCACCACCCCACTCCCATCACCATCACTCCCCCACCTCCACCAACACCCCACCCCACCACCACCACCCCCATGACCCCCACCCCATCCCCATCACCCCACCACCCCCACCAACACCCCCCCATCACCACCACACCATCCCCATCACCACCACACCATCCCCACCAACACCCCACCCCACCCCATCACCCCCCCAACCCCACCCTGATCACCACACCACCCCCACCTTACACTTCCACAAACATGACTTCTCATGTCAGGCTCAGCTAACAGGTTCCCTCTTTTTCCTCTCTCCCCTCACTTAATTTCTTCTCCCTCAACCTTCAAAACAGACAGGCTTCCCCCTGGAGACATCCACCCACAGGCATTTAACTTCCTTCACAGGCTACACAACTACTTCAGAAAAGACAATAAACCAAGGGCCAAGGGTGGTGGAGGAGGGATGGATCGGGAGTCTGGGATTCACAGGTGCCCCAACTACCATACATAGGATGGATAATCAACAAATAGCTCAGGGAGCTATACTCAACACCCTGTGATAAACCACGAAGGAAAAGAACATGAAAAAGAGGTATGTATGTATCTAACTGAGTCACCTTGCTGCACATCTGAGACCAACACGGTATCGTAAATCCACTATGATTCAATTTTTTTTAAAATCAGAAATTAATGGGAGGGAGTAAATAAATTCCATATTTGCCAAGCCTTTGGGAAAGCAGTCCCTCGTGGCCGTTTTGTTCCCAACACAAGCACATTACTGTGGAGCAGGGGAGGGGGCAGACAGTGAATCCCTGGGGAGCTGCTGTCTCAGCCCCACAGAGCAGTCTCACCAGGAGAACAGGGTGGTGGTCAACCATCCAAGGAAGGCTGAGAAGCCGTATACACTGTAGTCAAGGGGCACCTGCGGCAAGACCGGGTGGAAAAGCACTGCCACAGTCTGGACACTCATTGGAAGGACTGATGCGGAAGCTCCAATACTCTGGGGTACCTGATGTGAAGAGCTGACTCACTGGAAAAGACCCTGATGCTGGGAAAGATGAGTGCAGGAGAAGGGGGGTCACAGAGGATCAGACAGTTGGATGGCATCACTGACTCCATGGACATGGGTCTGAGCAAACGCGGGGAGATGGTGAAGGACAGGGAAGCCTGGCCGAGAGTGTATCTGAAATTCACTGGGATCATGGCTTGGACATAGACTTCATGGAGTTCCTGGTCATCTGGACAATTCTAGAGCAGTAAGAGTGGATACTGAGCAGCCCTTCATTGACTGCATTGTGCTAACTTGGGCTAAGAGGCAAAGTGGCTAGAACACGGGAGGAGGAGTTGATGGACTTCAGGCAGCCTCCCAGTCCACGGGGTTGCAAAGAGTCGGACATGACCGAGCAACTGAACAACAGTCTGCCTCAGCTACGGCACCCGCACACACAGACATGGGTGTCCTCAGTTATAAAGCTGCAGCCTGTAAGGACGGGCTCCTAGGACAGGGGCTTATGATCCCCTGACATATCCAGGCCCTCCTCTTATGCTGGATCCTTGCACCAAAAAAAAAGTAAAAAACAAGATTAACTGACCTGTTTGATTTTCAACTGCTGAGGGTGGGGGCGGGGGGGAAGGAGTCAAATTTGGCCTCTTTTGCTGTAGAAATTTCTGTAGAAATTCATTCCTGCAACTACCAAAAGTATTATAGAGTCTGCAGTGATTTCTTATTATGATAAAATACATAGAGATATAACAGGCAGTGAATGTATCCCTCAAGAATAATGAATCCAACGAATGGACACATGATGTCTTGTGTGGAACACTCAGGCCTGTAAAGCAGCCCAGGGTGACTTGAATCGTGTCCCTAATATAACCAGGTAATTAATTAGTTCCATCATATTTTTGGTTTTATGACACTGACTTTTATATGCCAATCGTCAATGTAATGGCATTTTAAATTGGAGGGAAATCTCTAGAGAGGAGGAAAAGGCAGTATATACCTTATTGAGTCACAAATCTTACCATCTGATGTTTTAATACCAAAGTGACCTAATAAACCTGCTTCATAATTAAATCGATCTTAACAACTTCTGTGTCTTTTTACTCATTTTTGGTGATCATGAAGAGATTTCCATTAGAAATCTGTTATGATTGTAATTAAGAATAAAAATTACTTCATGTGCTTGTCAGGCTCAGGCTCCTGTCCGGGCTTGGCCAGCTCCTTCCCAGGTACAGAAGGAACAACAGGTTTTCAGTGTGAGCTGGAGTCTCTCATTTACCAGACTGTAAAAATATGAAATGTGCACCAATAATAGGCCTGGAAAGTCAGACCTTCAAATGACTGTCTCAAATGGAAATCTCACCTTTAAAAAAATAAACTGGCATACAATTTTTCATTTTCAGGCCTTTACAAAATTTTAAAATTTATGACCTACATGAAAAATTTGCCATTTATTGAAAAAGTAGTACTCAACAAAAGAGGTAAAGAACTGAAATACATCAACTGTTCTTAAAACCCAATAAATGACTGCAAAATGCTTTGCCTTACACTCAACTAAACAGAAAAATCAACTTTGGCATTTATGTTGGCTTTTGTCTCTCTGAATAACCAAGTAATTACAACACTAAATATCATGCGTGATTTTATTTTTAAGACTGTAATTTTAAGGAATATTACTTTATGTGAAAACAATTATTTTCCATTTTCACTAAAAGAGTTATAATTACTAAAACGCATGGAATTCTGTATCAAATCAGTTTGCTTGGCATCTGTGTTCTTCCCCTAAGAAATGAGAAAATATTCTTTGAACAGAGCTAAATAATCTCAGTTTGCAAGCAAACACAGCCTAAAAATATTATCTGGTGATACCAGCAGTGAAGAAAGGGAGAAATAACAGAACCTTACCATTTGCCGTATCCTTTTTAAAGTGATCCAGGAATTCCTCCAGAAGTTGGGACTGGTTAGGAGGGGGCAGCAGACCCTTCTGTTCCCTGGAGAACAGGTCACTGTCTGACCAGGAAGAACACAGAGTCGCTTTTGTGTCCGGGGGCCTGGCAATCAGAGTGAGCCCGACACTCTTCTCAGAAAACAGAGCCTCCATCTGCTTGAGGTCAAGATCAGAGACAGCTTCCCCATTTAAGGTCATGATTTCATTGCCCTTTCTCAGCCCTGAGAAGGAGGAAGGGGACACAGAGGAAGAAGAAAGAGAGATGACCAAGAGGAATATTTTAAGATGAAAGATGATTGCAAATTCAACCTGCTTAGTGTTCTCAGGGGCTCTTCTGTTGCTACCTTCAAAGATAGTGCCAAAATGTGTAGTAATCAGATTCCACTGATAGCAAATTTCCTCTGTCTGAAGACTAGCATTAGAAGAAATAGTTAAAGAGTCACTCAAATTAATTACTGCTCTAAGTGATGTTCACTGTGCTGGGAAATAACCTTTGCTGTGTCTGGCTGGCTGGCTCTCACCATCTCTTTCTCCATCTACATGGACATACGCACAGGTACTCTGTGTATATAGTCTCTTCCAAAACCACACACACACACTCTATTGCTATATACCCATATACACATGTGTGTGCGCATGCATGTGCCTTTGCATTCAAAATTATTTTCTTTAAAATTCTAGGAGAAACTGTTTTCTGACAAAATCATGAGCAAATTTCACTAGCCAGACTGCACTGCACAGAACTGAGAGAGAAGAGAGATAGCGCCTGCCGCACGGACCTTCCCCATACGCCAGGCCGTAGGGAAGGACATCGCTTATAAAGATGCGGCTGAGATGCTGATGTTCGTCCACCTGCGCAGTCACTGCAAACCCTAGGAAGGAAAATAAAAGGAGAAAACAAGTCTAAGTCTAGGGGCGGTATCTCCTTGACCATCTATGTATTCCTGACATTATACATAAGTAGGGTATGTAGAAAGTCTAAATGACAGCTATTTTGAAAGCACAGCTATCTATGAGGGGCAGAGACGGGGGAGTGTATCAGATCTAAAGGTTTAGGACATTATGCTACATGAAAAAGTCAGCCACAATAGAACAAGGACTACATGATTCCACTTCGAGAGGTACTAGAGCAGTCAGATTTAAAGAGACAGAAAATAAAAGGCTGGTTGCCAGAGGCTGTGGGAGAGGAGAGAATGGGAAGTTACTATTTTACAAGAGTCCCGGTTTTGCAAGATAAAAACAGTTCTGGAACCAGGTGGTATTAATGGTTGCACAACAGTATGAATGTATTTAATGTCACTGAGTTGTCATTTTAACCTGTCTTAACAATTGCTATGAAGGGAAATTATGATATGTGTTGTTTTTCAGTCACTAAGTCGTGTCAACTCTGCAACTCCATGGACTGCAGCACACCAGGCTTCCCTGTCCTTCACCATCTCCCAGGATTTGCTCAAACTCAGTGATGCCATCCAACCATCTCATCCTCTGTCACCCCTTCTCCTCCTGCCTTCAATCTTTCCCAGCATCAGGGTCTTTTGCAATGAGTAGACTCTTCACATCAAGTGGCCAAAGTATTGGAGCTTCAGCATCAGTTCTTTCAATGAATATTCAGGACTGATTTCCTTTAGGATTGACTGGTTTGATCTCCTTGCAGCCCAAGGGACTCTCAAGAGTCTTCTCCAGCACCATGGATCAAAAGCATCAACTCTTCGGTGCTCGCCTTCCTGAGGGTCCAACTCTCACATCTATACGTGACTACTGGAAAGTACTGTGAAGAAAGCTGAGCGCCGAAAAAATGATGCTTTTGAACTGTGGTGCTGGAGAAGACTCTTGAGAGTCCCTTGGACTGCAAGGAGATCCAACCAGTCAATCCTAAAGGAGATCAGTCCTGGGTGTTCATTGGACGGACTGATGCTGAAGATGAAGCTCCAATACTTTGGCCACCTCATGCGAAAAGTTGACTCACTGGAAAAGACCCTGATGTTGTGGGGTTGGGGGCAGGAGGAGAAGGGGACGACAGAGGATGAGATGGCTGGATGGCATCACCGACTCGATGGGCATGAGTTTGAGTAAACTCCAGGAGTTGGTGATGGACAGGGAGGCCTGGCATGCTAAGATTCATGGGGTCGCAAAGAGTCGGACACGACTGAGCGACTGAACTGAACTGGAAAAACCATACCTTTGACTAGATGGACCTTTGTCAGTGAAGTGATGTCTCTGATTTTTAATACACTGTCTAAGTTTGTTATAACCTTTTCTTCCAAGGAGCAAGCGTCTTTTAATTTCATGGCTGCGGTCCCCATCTGCAGTGATTTTGGGGCTCCCCAAAATTAAGTCTGTCACTGTTTCCATTGTTTCCTCATCTATTTGCCATGAAGTGAATGAGTAGCCAGCCATTCCATTCCCTTTCCCCAGGGGATCTTCCCAACCCAGGGATCAAACCTGAGTCTCCTGCATTGCAGGCAGATTCCTTATCGCCTGAGCCACCAGGGAAGCCCTATATTATGTGTATTTTATCACAATTTAATTTTTTTTTTAAATTGAGATCAAGAAAGTCTTATTAAAATAAGTTAAGTTCACTTCAATACAGTATTTGTTAAGAAACAACTCTGTATGGGGTTAGGCACATTGAATAGGTGGAGAAATACTTGAATGGATGCTGCTTGCCCTAAATGGAACTACATGGGACACCCAGGTGAGATGGCCCTTCTCTAAATGTCTCCCTGCATCCTCCAAAAGTGCCCTCATCTGTGACTCCATGGTAGGAACACACATTTCCATGTCTTGATCCCATAAATACTGGGAATTCTTTGACAACAGAAAGAAAGGTATGTCCCTTATTCCTTCTGTGCCTCACGCAGAGCCTGGGAGATCATGGTCACCAAAGAGTATTTTTTCAAGTATCTCCCATCAGTCATTCAGATGCAACGAAGGTTGACCAAAGGAGACCTTGGAGAGCAGGGTGAGACCAATAGAAACATAGACAAAATGCTCAGAAGCCTTGAGAGGAAAACCAATGTAACATCGGGGCCACCTTTTAAAATTCCATATACATGTGTTAGTATACTGTATTGGTGCTTATCCTTCTGGCTTACTTCACTCTGTATAATGGGCTCCAGTTTCATCCATCTCATTAGAACTGATTCAAATGTATTCTTTTTAATGGCTGAGTAATATTCCATTGTGCATATGTACCATAGCTTTCTTATCCATTCGTCTGCTGACGGGCATCTAGGTTGCTTCCATGTCCTGGCTATTATAAACAGTGCTGCGATAAGCATGAGACAAGCGTTCAGGGCTGGTGCACTGGGAAGACCCCGAGGGAAGGGATGGGGAGGGAGGTGGGAGTGGGGATCAGGATTGGGGAACACAAGTAAATCCATGGCTGATTCATGTCAGTATATGGCAAAAACCACTACAATACTGTATAGTAATTAGCCTCCAACTAATAAAAATAAATGGGGAAAAAAAAAGTTATAGAGATAGTACAAAACAGAAAAAAAAAAAATTCTGGGGCCAGACAGATGTCATAGAATTTAGAAACAAGGAACATCATTTTACCAAAAACCCCAACAAATCATAAAAAGGAAAATTTTAATATATTACAATCAGGTTGTGTCATTTTAAGGAAAATAATTATATCAATATATCTAACAAGAAATAATCTTTCTATGGAGATATCTGTTGATCATTAGCCGGCAGGCTACAGTCCACGGGATCACAAGAGTCAGATACGACTTAGGGACTAAACCACAACCACCACCATCTAATCAAGTTTCTCTGGAAGGAGACAAAGCAAGAGACAGGAAGGAACTTTAAGATATGAGCACAGTCTATAAAGAGCCAAGTTTAAACACAGACAAAAGAAATGCAAGAATTAAATATTATGAAGTGATTTGGATAATATTGACCCTTAATTATTAAACTGAAGGTAAAGCAACTGAGTAAGGTTTCTTCAAGGAAGGGAGACTTTTAGTCAGTTCTTGAAGGACAAGTTGGATTTACACACTCAGAAAGAAGCGAATAGGGGCAGGGAGATGTGGGGAGCAGTTCAGACAGGTGAAGCGCTAAGAGCACAGACACTGAGATGAAAAAACTGTTACATGAATCATACGTTAATCAGCTAAGAACTTCGCCCAGCACACGATAAACTCATTGTGTCGTTATTATCACCATCACTTCAAATTTCTCTTCAGTTTTTACATTCATTCCTCATAAGTGTTTTGGCATTTCCCCCTAATAATAATACATATCTTTTTAGTCTGCTAATATAAATTAATAGGAATGAGGGAAGAGAAAGGAAGCTCAGACTCTCTTGTCAATAGTTTCTGAAAATGGGAAGAAAAGAATATTAGGTCCAAAGATACTGGGGCAAACCCGGCAAGAATAGACCAGATGGTTCTCTGATGAGCATGTTCCTCCTCCTTACCGAAGTCAGACACACCCCCGGTCTTTGTCAGCTGCACGTCATACACGCTTAGTGGAAAGACTTCTATTTCATCATAAACCTACAAAAGGGAAGACCCACAAAATCAGAGGATCTGAAGTCATAGTATCTTGGAAATTTATTTTAACTGTTTCCAAACTAGACGCCAATTTAAACAGAATTTTTTCCCCCGAACAACACTATTTTTTTTTAATTAAGGGGCCATGGATGGGTTTCAGATGTCCCTTACCAAAGCCAAAGAACACTCACCTGCTCCTGCATATATTCATACGGTGCAGGAATACAGTACTCAACGTTCTCATCCACTAACTTCCGAAGTTGTAGGCCATAATGGCTGGGTTCCAACTGCCTCAGCTAGCAAGAAAAAGACAGCTATTCAGATGTTAAATTTCTTTCTAAACGTGCCATTGTTCACTAAAAAAGTGGAAATTTCTTTTAAAAATATCTTCTATAATTTGCTGAGTTTAAATATATACAAGAGCTCAAGTTTCAGTGTGTGAGAAAAAAAAACGGAAATTATTTTAAGAAGGTTTTCTCTAAATGATACCACTTATCACTAAAAGCAAGAGATGTATTTTGAAGCAGTTATGGTGGTAGATATTTGATAACAGAATATTCCTCACCATCAGCAACTGCTCTCTTTTAACAGACAGGTAGTACCTAAATTTAAATTGCTTCCTGTTACTAAAGTAATTTGTGAAATGTCAACCATCTCATATTCTGCAGACTTCAGAATTACGAATTTCCTATGCCAACCATTTTTGACAAGGAAAAGGTGTATGTGTATATGTGTGTGTACGTATATATACATCCACACACATATATATACACATCCACATATTCTGTCTCAGACACATTTTCAACAATGAGAAATTATCTCAAGGCTATGTTCTAACTGGATCTGATTCACCCACTACATCTGACCTCCTCTATCAGAATATTTACCAATTTGATATTATTGTTATTGAATAATACTATTGACTGCCTGACATAATGGAGCAAAAGAAAATTAAATTCATTAACAGTATAAGCTGCATATAAAGATATCTGAAATCCTAAGGCATAAGTCAAAGTAAAAAAGGAGGACTAAAATGAAAGATTATCTAATAAGCATTTGTGGTAAAGAGCTACCAAACTCTACATTTTTTTTAACCATTTCGTACGTTTGCATTTTATATGAAAACTTAAAAATATTTCAGCTCTACTGCGCCATCTGGTGGTCTGAAAGCATATTATCTGATGCAGCTGAGTCTGTTTCAAGGATCTCAGAGGGCTCTCTTGTAAAATATATCATAAACTTTCTTTTCAGAAATAAAACTCAGTTTCAATAATGAAGAAAACACCATCTCATAACAATCTCCATGAAGCAACTGTGAGTTATACTGAGTGACTCATTTAATCTGGAGAAACTTGATAAAACTAGCATCAAATCAACCATTGCAAAGTTTATGCCACTTTCTCACAGAATACCATCTATAAGTACCTTAAATAACAAGAGACTTCATAATTATCCCAGATATAAAGGTATAAACACAGAATTTCAATAAGATAGCTCAACTTCTTCATGAAGGCATGGGGCCGTGACTCAATCTATTCTTCTAAAACATGGGGAAAGATTAATGTGTTAATTAACAAATTTGCTCCTTCCTGTGAAAAGTAAGGTCGTAAACACCACATAAATTAAGCAGGCATAGGAGGCAACGTTAATGATTATTCCCATTCAGAAGCATATTTCTACAGCAAAATCCACTACCTTGCAGGCCAGAGTCAGAATATCTTCCACTCTGGTTTCCGGCTTGATCATCACAGTCACGGCTTGATGATCCTGAAAGTGAACGTCAACCTGGCTCTCCCACGTGCCATCTCGGGGAACGCCATCCACTGCTGACCCGTATAAGTGTAGCAGGTCATCTACCTGTTTGGGGATCCCAAAAGAAAGGGTGGGCTTGACAAGCAAATGAGGGAAGCCATGGGAAAACGCCTGCTGAATTCAGAGTTAGCACTTTTGCACTCCTCACATCTAGGGCTTCTCACGACCCCCTGGGGCTGACAAGCCTGGAGTTTCCTCATTTGTTTAACCCACATGCAACTGACACCCTGGGAGGCTGCCTGAAGTCCATCAACTCCTCCTCCCGTGTTCTAGCCACTTTGCCTCTTAGCCCAAGTTAGCACAATGCAGTCAATGAAGGGCTGCTCAGTATCCACTCTTACTGCTCTAGAATTGTCCAGATGACCAGGAACTCCATGGAGTCTATGTCCAAGCCATGATCCCAGTGAATTTCAGATACACTCTCGGCCATGGCCTCTGACGCCTGCTTGCATACTAACCATGAACTGCACTAATTTAATCCAAGCATGTTTCTCTCCTCTTATTTCTACTTGTTTTTAAAAATTACCCCCTAATCCTGGACTAAATGTTTCTCCATCTTCAGCTAGACACTCGTTCAGAAAGCATCCCCAAACATACCATGTTTCAGAAGCTTTTCCCAAGGAAGTTTTGTTTCCTAAACTTCACCCTCACAGTAACTCCATGACCTCATGCTAATATGTTCTTCTATGATTTATAAATAAAAATAGTTAACATGTGTACATATTAATCAGCTCAGAAATGTTCCCCTCTGGTTAGGCTCTCATATTAGTCTGGTGGTAAAGACAAAACGTGGGGAATTGAAATCAAAAGACTGATGCTCAAGTCACAGCCCTTAACCAACAGTAGGGCAGGACATTTCCTGTGCTGAACCTCCCTCCTATTTTGTAAACAGGGATATTATTACTACAACACAACTGCTTAAGTTTACCAATCAATAATACAAATTTTGTGAACAAAAGAGATTATATGTGAAAATACCTCACATACCAGAAAATGTTACACACAGATTCATCAACACATCATGAATATCCACCATGAGAGTTGTCACTGACAGATTTTTTACCTTGAATTTCATGCATTTAAAAAACACACATGCACACACACAAGATCCCCCTATGTGTTAAGTTGCTTCAGTCGTGTCCGACTCGTGTTAAGTCGTGTTAAGAGTCGTGTCCGGCTCTTAATGACCCGATGGAATGTAGCCCACCAGGCTCCTCTGTCCATGGGGATTCTCCAGGCAAGAATACTGGAGTGGGCTACCATGCCATTCTCTAAGATTCCCCTATACTATAGGATTAAAATACTAGAATATGTACAGTAATTTAAAAAAAAAAACAAAACAGGTTTAGGCAAAGAAAGGGAAGAATCAATCTTCCTGTGTTGTGTTTTTAAATGTGGTACTCATCTTTGAAGTGACATTTCTGGCTCTGTCACTTCCTGTCCATTTTCCTGGAAAGATGATCACAGCCCAGAATGCACATGAACCACACTTGCCAAAGGAAAAAAGAGAGAAAGAAGCAGAGGTCTGAAGCCAAGGACTCAGGCAAGCAGCATGGACCCCAGTGTCCCCTGCAGGGTCCCATCTCACGTGGGTCCCATTTGCTTCTCAGGTTAAACCTCAGGCACTTGCATCTACCTGATCAGCAATTTCAGCCAAGGGCATCAGCAACGAGCAGGTACGTGCTTAAAGGCACAGGCCCCACATCTCAAACTCTGCTCGCTCAGAATCAAACCAAAACCCCGGCAGAGGTCACTGTGGAGTAAGAAATCACAAAGAGCCAGGACCAGGGGATGTCAAACCATCCTGACTGCTGCTGCAAAGCAATTCAGGGCTGTACTTTCAGAGCAGAGCTGGAAAAACGTGACGGAGGATGGACGAGCTGGGGGAGGGACACGGGGAACACAAATCCACCATTACCCTCCCCTCATCCCAGAGAGACCTCACGACTCCACTCACAGCCCTCGGAGGCAAGCGCTGTCCCGACTCTCTAATTAACAGTAAAAAGAACGGGGCTCAGAAAATTCGAGAAACTTGCCCCAGCTCCCACAGGAAGCTGTGACTGTCGTACTGTGGGAATTTGAACCCTGGAACCCAGTGTGAGCCTGGGCTCCCTACCACTGCTCTATCGAAACATCAGCCTGGCCCTTAGTCACCTCTCGCAAAAGGGACACAGGCCAGATGCCTTACTCTTCTCGGTTACAGCACGAGGCACGCCATGTCCTAACTCCCCCGACTCCCCACAGGAGCACCCTCCTGCCTCCGGGCCCCGGTCACCCCTGCTTATTTCACCTGCTTTATGCTCCCCAGAGCTCCTGTCCCGAATTCACATGTATCTTTCAACCTTATTTCAAGTGCTACCCTCTCTCTTAGGAAGTCTCCCCTGCCCTTCCCCGACCTCCAACCCCAACTCCACTCAGTTAGATGTGTCTACACTCTGATGTCCCTGCAGCGAAGTCCAGCCCGCTTGATAGTCATTTCCAGGCCGTTCTCAGACCCCAGGTGCTGAGATGAATGAATGACAGCAGAGGCGCTATCCTCCTCATTCTCAGTGTCCTCCAGCCCTTCACACAGAGTCTCCTTCAGCCCTTCACACGGCGTGTCCTCCAGCCCTTCACACAGAGTCTCCTTCAGCCCTTCACATGGCGTGTCTTCCAGCCCTTCACACAGTCTCCTTCAGCCCTTCACATGATGTGTCCTTCACATTGTGTGTCCTCCAGCCCTTCACACAGAGTCTCCTTCAGCCCTTCACACAGAGCTTCCTTCAGCTCTTCACACAGAATCTCCTTCAGCCCTTCACACGGTGTGTCCTCTGGCCCTTCACACAGAGTGTCCTTCAGCCCTTCACACAGTGTGTCCTTCAGCCCTTCACAAAGAGTCTCCTTCAGCCCTTCACACACAGTGTCCACCAGCCCTTCACACACTGTGTCCTTCAGCCCTTTACACACTGTGTCCTTCAGCCCTTCACACAGAGTGTCCTCCAGCCCTTCACACAGTGTATCCTTCAGCCTTTCACAAGGTGTATCCTGCACCCAGAACACCCCCAATCCATGGGTGTTGAACTGGATGCAATGAGAAATTCAGCCATGTATGGGCTTGGAGGGTAAGAGCTGCCCATTTTCAGTATCTTATGCAGAATCTACTTCCACAATCAAGTTCTTAATCCTCCCTAAAGTTTCAAGAAGAAAAACTAAAAGAGGATTACTGTGGAGAAGTTCTAGGCTAGAGAAAACGATGAAGTTTTCTTCCTAGAACTAGGAAGTTCTAGGCTAGAAAACTATGCGGGCAATTGAGAAGATGCGACAAAGGACAAAAGAAACATTTATATTCTATTCAATTAAACAAGGTTCTATGCCTACTTGTGCTCTGAGGAAACACTTCCTGAGTCTACACTGTTGACCTAAGGTCAACTGAATGACCGAGAAGAGGTCTATCAACACCAAGGCTAGGGAAGGTTCAGATTCTCTCAAGAGATCCTTCAGTGAAAATTTACCTGTAGTTTTTTTCCTATGCATAACACACACACAGCCTAGAAGTATAAGCAGTTAAAAAAAGGTGAAATATGGCTATTCAAAAGGAGTACCAAGGATGTAGAAGTGATTATGGTGCTTATACATCTCCTAGGCTGTTGGAAGATTTGCCCACTTGAAAAAAAAAAACAAACTGAATTGATCCTCTTAAGGGTCAATGTTATCCACACTGAAATCACATGCTTCATTTTCAGTGAGTCAGATAAAATATTCTCTCATCTTCTTTTTCATAAAAGGAATAGAGAATCATGAAAACAATCCCAGCAAGCTGAGGTGTCTGGAAAACCCTTTTCTCTGCTTACTCTTAAAGACACTACATTAATCTTTTAAACCGCCACCCAGAAGTCCTTGGCTGGCTACCCCTGTCAAGACTATCACATACCCCTTCACCCACTCCATCCCTCCCTCCCCACAAAATTAGTTTCCAGTCAACCAGTTCAAGGTTTCCAGTTCTTGGAGGAGATAAATAAACTAGCAAAAATACAATAAACAGACAATCCGGGTCAAATCCCAGCCTTGTCAGGGCTGGTCAGCTCATGTCTCTGGGCTTCACCTTCAAAAGGGGCTGAAGCAAACCAGTCCCACAGAGAAATCAGGAGACCGGCATGAGGAAGGGCATTTGAAGGGACTACATAAACTGTAAAGGGCCATCGACTATGTAAAAGATTGCTTTTGAAGTTTGGTGTGGATTATGGAATTACACCATACTAGGCTTGACTAATAAATCAAGTCAAATAAAATTACCGCGGATGGTGACTGCAGCCATGAAGTCAGAAGACGACTGCTTCTAGACATGAAAATGATGACAAACCTAGACAGTGTGCTGAAAAGCAGAGACATTATTCTGCTGACAAAGGTCTTCCCAGTGGTCATGTACGGTTGTGAGAGTTGGACGGTAAAGAAGACAGCACCAAAGAATTGATGCCTTTGAACTGTGGTGCTGGAGAAGACTCCTGAAAGTCCCTTGGACTGCAAGGAGATCAAACCAGTCAATCTTAAGAGAAATCAACTCTGAATACTCATTGGAAGGACTGATGCTGAAGCTCCAATACTTTGGCCACCTGCTGCAAAGAGTTGACTCATTAGAGAAATCCCTGATGATGGGAAATACTGAAGGCAGGAGGAGAAGAGGGCAACAGAGGGTAACATGGCTGGATGGTATCACTGATGCAATGGACATGAACTTGGGCAAACTTTGGGAGATGATGAGCAACAGAGAGGCCTGACAAGCTAGGCTGCAGTCCATGAGGTCGCAAAGAGTCAGACACGACTGAACAAAGGCTTGACCACTGTAATTTAACAACAGCCACTGTAAAGAACTGCATGAGAATCAGGCCTGGCTCCAAAACCCAGAGTAACCGTGCGACCACTGGTGCCCAGACCACCATGTGGTCCAGGGCTGGGTGGCCATCCACCAAACGGTAACATCACTGAACTGCAGCCACTGCCACTTCCGTTAAGGTGTGCAAATCACTTCCGCCTTCCAGGTAGGGCAGCTTCTATGGAAGCATTCCTTA